GATGATATTCCAGGTCACGCGGGGCCGTAAGCGGCCGCGTGCCTAGGTCGCGAAGGCCGGCAGCCCTGCGAGCACGATGAGGATGCGCGGGTGGATCATGCCACCAGCCGCCTGCGACTCCCTTGGATTTGCTCAATGGCAAGATGAGCGACGCCAAGACCGAGGCCAAGCTTCTGTCCTGGATGATGGCGGCGGTGTGTTCCTTCTCTGATGAGTTCAATGAGCTGGCCCCTGCTGCGCGACGGGTGCCTGCTGATCGTGGCACGTGCAGTTTGTCGAGAACAGGCGCGAGATCGCCAAGGACGGCCAGGGCTGGATCTTTACGCAATGCACGGCACGGGCTTCGAATGAGGCCGCGCTGCTCAGGCTTGAGCGTGCGTCCGCGCCCTCCGCCTTGCAGCGTCTCCTGGCCCGTGCCAGGAAGAAGTCTGTTTTTATTCCTTCTCGACGAGCGCCTCCCTCCCTTCCTCGCTCTCTGGGGCTATCGCCATCGCTCTCCGAGCGGCCGACCGCTTCTTGGGGCCCGAGGTTGGCCATCCTGAAGGCGCGAGACCTTGGACTCCTGCCGCGTCACCCGCGGGGTCTGGGGAGGCCGCTGGGGGTCCGATCCCCGCCAGCGGCCGGTCTTGGGCGTCTACTGACGCGGTGGTTTCCACGGGTGCTGCCATTGCTTCGGCTGGAAGTAGGACAGTTTGTGCAAGCGGTATTGTGCCTAGTTTGCTTACTGCCGGTCAGTCAACTCAGGGGCCCAGTGTGTCAGCATCGCCCCTGAGGGTTCCTTCGAGCTTGTGCGTGGACACCATATTGTCACCACAGGCCCTTGTGTTTATTGTCCTAACTGTGGTGGATCAGCATCCAACGGGCAATCTCCCGAGCCGATGGAGACCTGCAACGCCCCAGTCAACTGGATGATTAACCGCCTCCGTACAACAACCCCGGCAAATCTCGAGGCTGGGTGCCACCCGCGCACGGGTATTCCCCTATGCGGTGACACGCCCCGCGGCTAGGGTGGCTGCTCTTTATCTCGTGGCTCCCTCGCTAAAATTAAATCATTTCGCTGGCAATAAAGATTATTTGGCCCGCGAGTCCTCTTCCACTTCCAATTTCCCCTTGTTCCTGTCTTCCTCTCGCCTGCTCATCCTGCTCCTTCTCCTCCCCCCCCACATCCCACTCCTACTTCCGCCCTCCTCTTCCCGCTCCTGCCCCAATCCTAGGCACCCTTGTCGGCCTCCGCCTGCCGTTGCTCCAGAATCCGAGCTCGGCGCGCCTTCCATGTGCTCGCTGCTCCTGCCGTTGCTGTTCCAATCCCTACTCGTGGCAGCACCACTGGAGCCTCGCGTTTGTTCGCCGCTCTCGGCGGCGGCGGCCACGACGACGACGACGACGGCGCGACCGACAGCGACGACGACGACGACGACGACGACGACGACGACGACGACGCCCCGCTGCGCGACGTGCGGGGCCGGCAGGCGCAGGGCGAGGCCCCTCGCGCCTTCCGCGGAGTGCCGCCGCCGGGGGCCTGTCGGAGCCGCAGCGCAGGAGCGGAGGCGGGAGGTCTGCAGGCACTCCCCACCGCTCGCCCCCCTCCCTCCTGCTCCGCCCCCTCCACCACAACTCCTCCGCCCCTTCCCGTGTCCACCGCCTCCCCGACCCATCCATCCCTTCTGCCTCATCCCCATCCCCCCCTTCCCCTCCTTCTCTGTGCCTGTTCCCCCCCCTACCCCCCCGCCCCACGTCCTGTGCCCTCGCCTTCTTCCCCCCTCACCCGCCCGTCAGAAGGCGAACCCAACCCCTTGGAGTCCAGCAAGACGCTGGCCTCAAGGCTGGCCCCTTCGAAGTCCAGCGAGCCGCCGAGCTCGCGGGCGCCGCCCTTGCCCCCTTCCTCGAACGACGGGCTCGTGAGGGCGAGTTCCATTGTGGACGGGCTCGCTGACTTGTATGAAGGTCATCAAGGTCTCCGCGAGACGAGCGGCCAGGTCCTTGGCTGGAGCACCGCGGGGGAGTATACTGGCGAGTTCCTTCCCCGAGAACGCCGTACTGAAAATTTACGCGCAGGTGCTCTCGTCGAAGGCGATTCCCGCCGTCTGGAGCAAGCCTGCGATCAGGGGGAGGCGACGGCCGCAGCTGCAGCCGCCACTGGGGGGCGTCAGTGCGCTCCGCGTTGGGTGCGTCTCGGCGCCTCCACTTGGAGGCGCCGCTGCGCCCTCCGAGGGAGTTGGCCTGGCCCTCGTCGCGCTGGGGCACCTCCCCACCCTCGGTGGTCTCGGCCTCCTCGTCAGCATCGATGAGCTGCGCCACCCCACCCCGCCCTTCTTGTCCGTAGCCTGGTGGAGGGCGGCGTCGGCGATGCCCTCCAAAGCCGTCGGCTTGTCCTCCTCTGCCTGGTGGGAGGTGCGCCTGACGACGTCAAGGCCACAACGACCTTCATCACCGGTTGGATGAATCTGCTCTGCGCTCCCAGCTGGCCCACGATGAAATTCATCGCCAGCGGGTTCGCGGCGGCCTGTCTCCACCTCCCCAGTGAGCGGCTGTTGCACGGACCCCATGCTGTCGGAGGTTCCGGGGGGGGTCGGGATCCACCTGAACACCCACAGTGACACAGTCGTTCGTCTGCTGCTCAAGGGTGCCACACACCTCTGAGTCCTCATCCTGCAAGTCAGCGGTTCTTGATGTCTGCCAGGTAATTATGGCAGGGCTTCTCGACGCTCTGACCCTCGCCCGAGCGGTTGGGGCTGAGGGCGCTCTCCTCAGTCCCCGAGCCCCCCGTGAAATGCTACTCGCAAGCCGTAGTGCTCGCAGGTGCTACCTCACTGCTCGCCTCGGTGGTTCGCAGCCACGCGCAGAGGGGGGTGGGGGGAGGGGGGAGGGCTTCTTAGAAGCACCCCTGCTTCTTAAAAGGCGCGGGCCTTATCTATGATGTCAGGCCGGCGCCTTCTAAAAGAAGCCGCCTCCTTCTAAGAAGCCCCCCCCTCCTTCCACCCCCTTGTGCGCGCCGCCAAGGTTCGCCGGGCACGCGTTTCCGCAGGCGTGCTGGTGACCAGCGGTTTCGCGAGCGCCTATTGCACACGTTGGCAGATGCTGGCAGGGGGATGCGCCAATGAACGCTTGCCAGCCCGCCCCTGCGCGTACAGCCAAGACGCTGAAACAAGGACCGCTTAGGGTTCGGAAAGGGATTCGCCGTTCGTTAGGCCATTTTGTGACCATTCCTCTAGGCCTCCTCGTGCACCCAGGCTCGTGTGGTGCCCAAAGAGGGGCGTCGTTCCTTGTCTGGCTGCCTGCGGCAAGTCCCGCCCGTGCCAGCCCAGCATTCTCGGTGGCGACTGTTCGAGGGGGCACGGGAGGCCGGCACGTGTGACATTTCATGTCTCCAGGCTTGGGGGAGCCGTGAAAAGGACGACGATGATGACGATGATGATGATGATGATGATGATGATGATGATGATGATGATGATGATGATGATGGATCAATCAACACGTTCCTAGATGATATCCTGCAGTTTCACGTTCACGCTCGCCCGACAGCCGCCTGTTGTGCTGCTCAGCTTCGTTTGGCGAACGACGCGCTTGATGAGTGTTTAACGCCAGCTGGCTATTCGCAGAATCGTGGAAAGCAAGAGGTCACCCCATGCCTGAGATCGGCACAACAAAACCGACGGGTATTCAAAGAAGTGGGTATTGGCAGAGTTTTGCATGAGATGAAATACCTGGGGGCGATATTCGATCCGACGGGGTCCATGGTGTCCGAGCGGAAAGCCAGGGTAAAAGCTCTAAGGATGAATTGGTCACAGTTTTATGGCGTCTGGTTTACCAATATACCCAAAGTTGTGGAAAGAGCGGCCTACATCTCCAGGGTCCAGGGAGCTGCGTTATCTGGGATGACCTCTTTTGTATTACAGAGTGTTGATTATCGAGCTCTAGATATACCTATCTTGGGACATCTGCGGGCTATGATGCAGGGAGGGACCAGGAGGGACAAGGGGGACCAGATTCGTACCATCACTAATTTGGAAGTCTGGAAGTTTTGGCGGATATGTCCGTCTTCCCTTGAACTGAGAGTTCGTCGTCTCCGCTGGCTGCAGGCGATGATTAAGTATCCGATCGAGCACGAGCTCCCTGTTTCAGCGCTATTCGGCACCATGCAGTGTGAGGCGTCGAGCGGGCTTGCCGCGACGCTCACCGTGGACGGCCGAGTACACCATTCCGCCAACCCTTGGGCAAAAATGTTCGAGGCCGACGTGCACAGTTTGCTGGACGTCTCGGGCTGTGAGTCTTTCGCGAGTATCTGGGATCGGAGTCTGTTTTCTCTTATGAGGAATGTGGTTGTTGGGGAGGCTTTCTGTATGTTGGACCCTGGGATCCTCAGAGCCAAGTTTTGGTCCTCATCGGTTGCCCCACCAGAGTACGATATGTTAGGTCCCGACCCTGTGCCAGATACTGGAACCACGCTGGACCCGATGTACGAGTGTGACCTCCTTCTTGAGACAGGTTGTAAATGTGATGCACGCTTCGCGACCTACAAGAGCTTCCGCACCCACCAAATGGTAACGCACAAGGTTCGAAATACCGCTCGACTCGCCATCGTGACACATCAATGCCCAGTATGTTGCTCGACCTTCAAATCCGAAGCATGTGCGAAACAACATTTACAGTACGCTATGGTTCATCATCGGTGTTATGCTGATCGTTCGTCGGTGGAAATACCAGCTCGTCAACCTGCGGAGCTAACATGTCCGCTTTGCCACGTCGATCCTTTGCCGTGCTTGGCTCAGTTGCAGAGGCACATTTGTCAGCACCTTCCGCTTTCGATTTCTCACGACATCGATCTGCATTGTGAGTCGACTGGCGGACGTCTCGGCCCCGGCGAACGCAGGTCCCATGACGAAAGAAAGGCGCCGAGGAGGCCCGCCGACTCAGACCCAGCAGGGCCCGAAGGTGGACGTGAACGCCATTCAGGACCCGAACGTGAAGGCAGTGCTAGGACTCATGATGAAGCAGGTGGCAAAAAAAACACCCAATATATTCGCAAGATCAAGCCGACGGTGATGGACACATTCAGGTGCAAGAAGAGCGCCCCCATCATTCTAGCCTTGGAAGAGGAACACTAAAAATACGTGGACGTCGCCCAGCAGCAAGAGATGACCGTTTCACCTGCACCCTACAAGGCGTGTGTCCTGGTGATGATGCTAAAGGAGTCGGACGTGGGCGGCGCCAACAAGAAGGCGCTGGAGGGGCTCGACCAGAGGATGCAGCATCGCGGGATCATCGAACTGGAGTCGGAGTTCCAGCTAGTGGCGATCGAGAAGGCACTCGACAGCGACATGCGCAAGCTGAACGTGGTCATGGTCCTGTCCCCCGCGCACCCGCTGATCATCAGTGCCATGAAGCAGTTGGAGTTCCTACACTCGTATGCCCCCGCGCCGCCTGGGTACATGGAACGCCAGCTGTCGAATTGGATTCAGGAGTGAAGTCAGTGAGATCGATGTCGGCAGCACAGTCAGTGAGACCACAGAAGATGAGGAGACAAAATGATATGGGAGTGTCTCTCGCCAGTGCTCAGTCAGCGATGCCTGAGAGGGATAGCACTATTGAGAGACATAATTTTGTGCATGCGCCTCCAGACACCCTTCGGCCTTGTGGTGCTCAGAATGCTGATGCGGACAGAGAATGTACTCCACTGGTGAATACTGATGCTGGGCAGACTGAGTGTACTCAACATGTGATTACTGATGCTGGCAGAGAGTGTACTCATGGTGTGATTACTGATGCCGGCAGAGAGAGTACTCATAATTTGGTTACTGATGCTGGTGGTTCTTCTTACGGAGTGGCGTCAAAAATACGTCGCGAACCTGAAGGTCCGCCAGAGAAAAAAACGAGCCAGACATCTTCCTCCTGCTACTCCTGCCCCGAGATCTCCGAGCCCTGAGCCCTACTCTCAGCCCGCCCCGCCCTCTCAGGTTGTCTGGCCTCGTTTTGCCCCGTTCCCCAAGCCCAAACCCCGCCCCAAGTACAGTAAGGAGCAGGAGCGAATGCTCAGGTTCCACTACAAGCGTATGGGGTGGGAGTGGGACGGAGGAGTGAGGGCGCAGAGGTAGGCTTCCCCTCGCCCTCGTCGCCGTGCTCTTCGCCCCTCTTCCTCTCTCGGATTTTTCTCTATCATTTTGACTCCCGCGGCCGCAGGGGAGATCGGGCTCCTGGCGCCGCGCGGGCGAGATGCAGGCCCGCCCTCCGCGTGCGCTCGGGGGGGGGGGGGGGGGGGGGGCCTTGGGGGGGTGAAACAGGACCCCCGCTCAGGGCCGTAGCGTTCGCCACCATTGTGGCTTCAGGGATCAGCTGCAAGCATTAGAAGTCTGGCTTAGTCTACCCCCGTTTTGTAGGCTAGAGGAGCTTGCCTGGTCATAACCTGCGATAGATAGATGATGATGATGATGACGATGCTGATGATGCTGATGGTGATTGTGATGCTGATGGTGTTGGTGATGGTGATGGTGATGGTGATGATGATGGTGATATTGATGGTGATGATGATGATGCTGGCGATGATGATGACGATACTGATGATGCTGCTGATGATGTTGATGAGGATGATGATGATGATGATGCTGATAATGATAATACGTATTATGATTCGGATGGTGATTCTGATGCTGGTGATTATGACCGATGATGGGCGATGATGATGGCGTTGGTGCTGATAATGCTGACGAGCGATGAACGGTGATCGATGTTGATGATGATGCTGCTGATGGTGCTGCTGGAGATGGTGATGATTGTGGTGGTGATGATGGTGATGATGGTGAGGATGAGGATGAGGATATGCGGATGCTGATGATGGTGATGTTGATGCTGATGGTGATGGTGATGGTGGTGGTGATACGGCTGATGATGATCATGATGATGACGAGGAGGAGGAGGAGGAGGAGGAGGATGAGGATGAGGATGAGGACGAGGATGAGGATGAGTGTGATGATGGGGGTGATGATGGTGCTGGTGCTGGTGATGCTGATCAGCTGATGATGTTGATGATGATGATAAGTCTACAACTCGCTTGGGCCGTCTTGGGGCTGCCTTGGCCTCCTGTGAGGCAGTATTGGGGATTCCTTGGGGCCCTCTTGGGCCGTGCTGGTGCCTTCTTACACCGGCTTGGGGTCCTCTTGGGCCGTTTTGGGCCCTCTTGGCAGCATGGCGGGTGTCTGGGGTCAGGTGATTATTTCTCGAGAAAGTTTAACAATTTTGGAGAATTTGTTTGGAGAATTTGTTTGGTCGGAGGCGAGGGGGTGAGATCGAAGTGGGACGGAGAGCCCCCCTACCAGGAAATCGGTTTCGGTTTCGTGTTCGTGCGTGCCGTGCGTGCGGGCGAGGCTAAGCTGCGTGAGCGGGCGAAAAGAAAGTCTCCTCCAGCTGAGGCGCGGCCAGACCAAATGATTCCTTTCCGGGGGCCGGTTGCCCGCGGCCGGTGCCCCGTCGGTGTCCCGATGATGATGATGATGATGATGATGATGATGGTGATTATGACCGATGATGGTGATGATGTTGATGATGATGATGATGATGCCGGTGATGTTGATGATGATGATGATGGTGATGGTGGTGATGATGATGGTGCCCCGATGGTGATGATGATGACGGTGACGGTGTTGATGATGACGCTGATGGTGATGCTGTTGACGATGATGGTGTCCCGATGATGATGTTGATGATGATGTTGCTGCTGATGATGGTGGTGTCCCGATGATGATTTTGATGATGATGACGATGATGGTGTCCCGATGTTGATGTTGACGATGTTGATGATGATGAGGTGATGATGATTTTGATGATGGTGGCCCGATGATGGTGATGATGATGTTGATGATGTTGATGAGGATGGTGTCCCGAATCTGATGACCGTGGTGATGATGACGGTAACGATGAGGATTGTGTCCCGATGATGATGTTGATGTTGATGATTTTGTCGCTGCTGATGATGGTGGTGTCCCGATGGTGATGATGTTGTTGATGTTGTTCATGAATATGATGATGATGATATGATGATGATGATGGTGGTGGCGTTCCGATAATGATGATCATGGTGTCGCGATGATGGTGATGCTGATGATGATGATGGGAACGATGATGGTGTCCCGATGGTGATGATGGTGATGATGATGCTGATGATGATGGTGGCGAGGTGATGATGATCATGGTGTCCCGATGATGAGATGATGATGGTGATGATGATGTTGTTGATGACGGTGTTGACGATGATGTTGTTGTTGATGACGATGATGGCGTTGATTGTGAGATCGATTGTGATATCGATGGTAAAATCGACCGTGCGACCGAATGTGAGATCGATTGGGAGATCGATAATGAGATCGATTGTGAGATCGATAGTCAGATCGGTTGTGACATCGATCGGATGAAATATATCGAGTGATATCGATTGTGCGATCGATCGAGTGAGATCGATCGAGCGAGACCGATAGTGATATCGATCCTGAGATCGATAGTGAGACCGATCGAGTGAGACGTTGGTCCCCCCCCCCGAACCTCCTTCTCACCCGAAGGGTGGTCGTACAGGTATTTTAATTTTTCGTCGAAAATCACCCTGTAGGGGGACACGCCCGACTTAAAGCTAGGTTGATTGCGCGCTGGCCACTGACTGCGCCCAAGGTGCATGGCTGCGCGCTGGCGGGCCCAGATCAACGGATTTGGCGTCGCCCTGCTGGCGCTCGGCCGAGTTCCGCGGCCGCCTTGCCCCGGTCGGTTTCGGGGGCAGACGCGCCTCGAGCTCAGCCCCTCCATCGCCCACCTTTCCCTCGTCGGAGGTGACTGAGGATGCGCTTGTGCGCGGGGAGGCTGAGGCTGATTATGTTCGCCCATCGCCGCGTTTGCCTTCTGGCGACACGGACTCGAGTTACGATCCAGCGTCAGTGCCCGATGGAGCGTTGACCAGCTGGGCTGCCTGCCCTGACTCGCCTCGGTTGACCCCGTGACTGGTTCCCGCGACGTGCTCTGACGGAGATGCTGGGTCCGACGATTGCGTGGTTATTTGACGCGTTGCCGAGCCCGCTGGCCAGATGTGGCGCGCCTGGAACACCGCGGACGGCGATTGCGACCCCCGCGCGCGCTGGCCGTCTGGAGGACCAGCTGGAGAACAAGTGCGATATGCAAACAACAGGAAAGGATAACGGTCTGTGTGGCAGCGGGGCCGATGCGTGCACTGCGTCTGTTTGCTCGGACCCTGCGGCCTCACGCGCGGTTTCGGAGGGCGCCCAGCTGGACCGCCGTGGCGTTGGATCGCAAGTCGCGCTCCGCTGTCTGGGCTCGTCGTCGCCACTTGCTTGAAGGAAATTGCAATCGCGCGGGGTTAGATCGCAAGTCCCGCCGTCGCGTTCGGGCTCAGTCGCTCCGCGTGCTGGATCGGGAAGTGGCTCGGATGGTCGCCAGGGCGTTAGATCGCAGGCCCCGCTGTCGCATTCAGGCTTCGTCGCCGCGCGCGCTGGACTGGAAGGCGGCGCGGGGCGCCGCAATGGCGCTAGATCGCAAGCCCCGCCGTCGTGTTCGGGCTCGCCGCCGCCGCGTGCTGGATTGGAGCTTGTGGGCGTTAGATCGCCAGTCCCGTTGTCGCGTTCGGGCTCAGTCGCCACGCGTGCTGGATGTGACTCCCGTTGCCGCTGCGCCAATTTCAGCCAGAAGATCGATTGCTCCGCCATCGTTGGCTGCCGCGAGGGAAACGGGGGCTGCGTCGCCGAGGATTGCTGCCACTGGATCGCCCTCTGTGTCCCCCCCCTGCTCCGGTGGCGCCCCCGACCTCACCGGCGCGGTCGACGTCGAGGAGCTCTGGCTCTGCTCATCGCCCAGAGGCTAACCGCCCCGAAGGTCTTCGCCCGCGGCGCCCCGCGGGCGGCGCCCCCCCGCGCTCGGAGGGGCCGCGCGCGGCCCCGAGGCTTCCTGGGGCCCCTGCTTGCAGTCCCGAGGCCCTGCATTGCCCGGGCCGCAGAGGAAACGACAGAGACTCTGACGTGCTCTGGAGGCGTCTGGAGGCTGTCGCCTGTCCCTGAGTCGCGCGCGGCTCTCTCGAGTTGTCCTGGGCCTCCGGAAACTGCCTCTGTGCTCTGATTCTCGGGCCCGCTGGTGCGGGCGCCGCGCCCACTCTGGTCCCATGGCCGTATCAGGGCCTGGCGAGTCGCGGGCCCCCGCGAGATGTTCGTCGGCTAGTGCGCGAACCTCGGCCTCTGGTCGCATCCTATCGGCAGTGCCCATGGCTGTGCCTTTGAGGGCGATGTTCCCGCCCCTGTCGTCTCCTTCCACATCTCCCCCCCATTACATCACGCTTCTCGGTTTGCCTGTCTCGCGTCATTCTACCAGCCTTGCGCGCGCCCCCCGCCCCGTCCTTCGCGCGCGATCGCTGCCCCCGCCGTTGCTTGCTCCCTGCCTTCCCCCCGTCTCCGCCTCGATTCAGACGCGGCTCGCCGCCCCTGGACTGCGTCTCCCAGGGCGTCACTG